CTGGAGAGGACACTCTACCAGGTCTCGGAAGGAGTGGGCTATCTCCAAGTGTGTGCTGTTGTGATCCGTCCTGACGAGAATACCGATTGTCCCATTGGTTTTGCTTTCGAGGTTGAACTCTCCACCATCAATGGCAGTGCAGGTATATAGGTGTGGGAAATGGAGAAGTGTATTCTCATATTGTTTTATTTACAGTGCAAATAATGGACTATGTCTCTCTTGACACGACACTGCAATTTGCTGAATGCGACAGAATGAGCTGTGAAAACATAACCATCAATGAGGATGAAACACTAGAAAATATAGAGGCGTTCTTTGTCACTCTGGAGAGGAATGGACTGGACAGTAGCATCACTCTTAATCCCACTCGTGCAGAGATTGAGATACGTGACGATGATGGTGGGTTTGTTTGTAATGAAAATGATAGTTTCCTCAACTTGGCCCATGATGCATACAGGACCTGTGGTGGGTCTGGAGGAGACGTTCTACACGACCGCAGAAGGAGTTGGCACGGTGGAAGTGTGTGCAGTTGTCTACAGCCCCAATGGGAACCTTGCCTGTCCCATTGACTTTGCCTTCAGTGTTGAACTTTTGACGACAGACGGTGATGCAGGTAGATCATTTTTTTGTGGACAATGAATTTTTTTGCATACAGCTACTAAAATATGCACATGTGTTAGATTTCGACATACCAAAATTGCCTCATGTTCACATTGCAGTTTCTACCATGGACTATGACTCCATCACCACTACACTTCCATTTGGTCGCTGTGATACACGGAGCTGTGTGGATGTGCTCATCACAGACGATGATGTGTTGGAAGATACAGAGTCCTTCTTTGTTTCTCTACTGAGGAACGGGCTGGATAGTAGGATAACACTTGACCCAACTCAAGGAGAGATAGAGATTATTGATAGTGATGGTATGCACTGCTATTGTAGCCCACTGCACCATTGTAGTACTCTGCATACCTGGCCCACCATCTGTTTCAATGGTTGTTTACCGATGCAGATGCCGTGATAGGACTGGAAAGGACTCTGTACTCTATCCAAGAAGGCTCTGCTCCAGCAGTGGAAGTATGTATCGTCGTGTATAGGCCGACTGGGATCTGTCCTATTCCATTCCCATTCTCTGTCATGTTCTCAACCAGCGATCTCACTGCAGGTATTATAGCAACAAACAGCTGTCATATTCATAGAGATCGCCAATACTATTTTGCTCCCCACAGTGGTCGACAACGACTATTTGGATGCAGACACGATCCAAATCTTTGGAGCGTGTGCTACAAGGCGTTGCATATTTGTACCAATCGTGGATGATTCCATAGGAGAGCCTGATGAACTCGTATCTATCTCTCTCGGTGATCCCTCTGACAGTCGGATAACCGCTTCACCACGACAGGGACTGATTAATATAACAGACATGAGTGAGTAGAATTTATTGTTACAGGCAGAGATCCAATTGAGGTTTAGGAACCTGTATCCAAGCACAAAGCTTCTTTACTGTGCACCCGCTAAGCTGCTTACACTAAATCCAAAAATATGATTCTGTGATGTCCTATTGTTACTATTTACTATTCCAATAGTTATGGAAACTGAATTTGTGAACGACACTGTGACTGGAGATCCACTGATGACTGTTCCTGTCGCTTTCCCCGATACCTCCACTCTCTGCTATGAGGTCCACGGAGAATCCGACAAGTTCTTCAACCTCATCAGCGATAACTGCGTATCGGTCAATGCCCACTACGCCAGATCTGGCATCAACAACCCCAACATTACTCTAAATGTCATCGACGCCGTGGGTATTAGAGCCGTTTCTAACAATGGGTCCTGTGTTAACATTGGAGTCGACCTGGAAGGGTGCACGGCAAGCATCAACGGCGTGGACCTGTCCAGCATGTATCGTGAGAATGGGATCGTGGTCCGCAAGTACTCGAGTCGTGTGAGGATCACGGTTCCCAACTGCGAGGACACAGACCTGGTGATGTGGGTCTTCTGTACCGGTGGGAGGACCGAAGACCCGTACACCTGGGAGTACTTCTCGTTCAACTTCCTCCGCTTTGTGGTCATGCGTGGGATCAACCTAAGGGAGGAATCTCACGGTCTTCTTGGTAAACTACTTTCGTCATGAGGTATGTTCAAGAGAGTTGTCGTAATGTTTTTCTCTTTCTCTAGGTCAGTTCTGGAATATCGAGATCGAGGTGGGAGAGCACACCGACACTTTCAACGGAGCCTCCCGTTCAGACGACTACACAGTCACTGTGCATCCCAATGATCCCAATAAGATAAGAAGTTTTGTGGCCCTCGTGTCGTCGGTCACGTGGGAGTTTGAGAAGAAGCCATGTCTCTATGTCGGGAACTCCCAGGCTGGGCCGCTTGGAGAGGATGTGACTCCAAACGAGTCTGTAATTGAGGGAACCTACAAGGATTACATGGTCGACTCCATGTTTTCTCCTAATTTCAAGTTTGCACATATTGACCAAGACAACTGTATGGCCAAGTAAAGAAAAAACATGATGGACAGTTATGTGTAGCATGGACGCTAAATTTTGTAGGTTAGTTATGGACTTTGCGTTGTATAATTTTGTGAATTCTATAATAATGGATTTTGTAGCATGAACATAAATTCATAGAGAAGACATGCGCCATGCGCTAGAACACTATGCACCATGCGCTAGAACACTGGTAGAAAACATGCGCCATGCGCATAATTATAAGTGCAGTTCAAAACAAGCGCTTTGCATGCGCGCGCCGCCTATCCTACGTACGTGCGTCGCACATTACGTAAATAACACGCTGCACTGACGTTGCGCGAATGTTGTCGGCGCGCGTGCGTCTGCGCTGCGCCGCTAGCTCTAAGCGCGCGCAAACTAAATCAGTTTATGACACGTCAAAGTTGTAGTTCAGCACCTATAAGTGCTAACCCACTTCCTGGATTTGTGACACCCTTGTGTGTGCACCAATAAAAGAGCTTTAGTCGGCGTGGCAGTGCAGAGTTGTTTCCCCGTTACAGCAACTTTCGCAGCAAAATGTTGCAGAAATTTCTCGTGGTAGCTGCAGTCGTCGGACTTCTCTTCGTGGAAGGAGGTAACTTTCAGTGCAATGCTCTCGCGTGTCTATGTAGCTAGCTAGAGTATATACCAAAGGACTTCTCACGCGCCGTTGTGCGAGCTGAAGATTATTACGCAAAACGTCGCGCGGAGAAAATTTTAGGCAGCAAAGCATTATGTTTGTTTGGCACACTTGCTATGCTCTTGCCCTTTTATTGTGCACAATCTGCCTCCCTACAGGCCACTGCCAGTGCTACACGGACACAGTCTGCGCTGGAGATAGAATAGACGTAACAGAAGCAGGGTCACCAATAGCAGATCAAGCAGACTGCTGTGTTGGAACCAACGCAGGTCTCTCATACAACGCTGGCTCCACCTGCAATCTCTGTATAGGTATGTCAGTTAGGTGCTTGTAACAACTGCATTGACTGACCACTCTGTTCCTTTGTACAGTTCATGGGTTTGCTCAAGCTGCATATGATGTGGTTGAGGATGAACGGTTGGACACTATGTTTCAACTCAATGTGAAGGGAACGACACAGTTTGGTGGTGCCCTTGTTGTCGCTGGAGTCATCACCGCCACAGCAGATGGCACTGCAGGTAAGCTGTACACCCAAACGATAACATTTGTAGCTTCTTCACCACAAAAACATTTGTGTCCCCATAGTGGTTTCCGACTTTGAACGGCTGGAACCAATCCGAGTCACAAACAATGCCGAGATCAGACTCTTTGCTGCCAATGATGAGATTGCTCTGGAATACGATGATAGGGTCCTACTGACGTTTGTTCCCGACAATCCTGCTCTCATTACTGACCTACCTGCCAATGGAGAGTATGTGAGGGATTCCGCAACAGTGAACATTATAGACAATGATTGTAAGTATAACCACGTGTAATGTCTGCCGATTCCATAATTATAATTTTTGTTTCGTCAGTGTTGGAGATCAATTTTTTGGAGTCTGACTATTCGATTGTGGAGGGATCCGCAGAGCTCAGTTCTCCAATCATGATTCAGTTGAGACAAAATCAGAACCCATTCACACTCATGTTGAGTCCAGTCAGTATTGATACTGCGGAGAGCAAGGGCTTGGGTTTCTTTATTAATTCCGAAACCATTCCACCTGGATCCAGAGCAACTGCAGGTATAGTAATGTGCCACACATAAGCTCTTTGAACGGCGTATGTTTTTGCCTTATGTGCTGGGAGCTGGGGGCTTTGATTGATTCGATAAACATGTAGATTATCCACACTTTTAAGTGCATCTGGAGAACTGCCGATTGTTACTCACGCAACTAAGCTGGTGGGTGCAGGACTTTGCAGCGCTTTCTCTGCAAAGAATAGAGTGTCGACAAGAAACTGGCTGACACTATTCTGGTTGATAGAGTATACAAGTGCCTTACTGAGTAAGTTTTTTGATCGTCAGAAACTCGAGAAAGAGAGATCAACACACTAGATGTGTGTATTCTGCTCATCTAGTGCTTATGTAGCCCTCGCATGGTAAATGGCTGTAGTGCTATGGCTGCTATAGTGTGATGCACAACGCGTATTTATTGTGGTACCTATCTGCAAAGGTTGAACAATGTCACTCTCTATCTTTTCCATCAGTTGCCGATTTCAGTAACCACACAACCACAATTACAATTCCAGCGAACAGTAACCCATCATACAAAATAACGCAGTTTTTCACAATCGAGGACGACAATATTGATGAGGACGAGCAGAGTTTTGCAATAGTTGGTGAGATAGGACAGGATGTGCCTGATGGTATCAGCTGCTTCCAGACTGAAGTTGGATCAGATGTTTGCTTTGGACGACGTGGAGCCACTGAAATTAGAATCACCGACAATGATCGTATGTTCATCTCTAATCGTCACTTGTCTTGTTATAAGCTTGTCTCTCTGTCTGCTAGCTATGATCATTGGGTTCACCCAACGCATTCGAACAGTATCAGAAGGTCAAGTGCCTGGAGTGGATCTGTTCCAGCTGGAGATCAATGTATAGAGTGTGAGGACAGCTGAAAGAGAGCATCCAATGGAGTTCCGTCTCCAGGAAGCCAGTACTAATGCTACCGTTGAGACACTGATAGCATCTAGTCCTGTTTTTGATGCTACATTTGGTCTAAGGGCAAACCCCGATGATCCCATTGAGGAAACCCGTGACCTGGACCCGGGAACACGTGTAGTTACACCATCACTGCTTACAGCCATCAGAAATGACTTGACTCCTGAGGACCTAGAATGCTACACTATACGCATATTCCCTGTCGATGTTCCTGGTCGCCGCGAGCTGTTTGAATGCAATGAAGACGCTGCTATGGCGGATAACTACTTCTGCGAGCACACAATCTGCATCGAAGACAATGATGGTGAGATTTTGGTATGTTTTTCGTACATGTTTTATGTTTTATCATGGAACTTCTGCAGATCCATTTGAGGTTGCTTTTGTAAGAACAATGCACACTGTTGATGAGAGTGCGGGTCCCGTGTTGGTCTGTGTCAATCTCACTCGACCTGAATTTGACATTCTCGATGAAACTGTCAATGTCTTTGTCACTGACTTCCCAACTTCCATGTACATCCCAGTTGGTGATGTTCCTTTTGCGAGTGAGTCATCCAGCACAAATAAAAGACAATTTTTATAACATTATCACTTTCTTCCCCAGCCCCTGATATTCCTGACTTTCTCAGTCGGTATCCGATGGCAGAGAGATCCGACTTTCAACAGCAGACTGCTCTCGTCAATTTAATTGACGATGTCCTTATTAGTGAACTGATGAGAATAGTCTGCTACAACCAGACCATCTATGACGACCTACGTTTGGAGGCGAATGAATATGCAGGCCTCATGCTTGAAGTGAGGGATAATCGCAAACCACAGTTCTTACTCTGGAAAAGGATTTGTTTAATGAATCATCCATTCTTATTGTGGACAATGACAGTGAGTTTTATGCAAAGTACCGTATACTGTAGGAGAGAATTTGTAACCACTGGTTTTGTTCTGCAGGGGCTGTGGTGGGTCTGGAGATGACATTTTTCAGTGTCTCGGAAGGTGTTGGTTACGTTGAGCTCTGTGCCAATGTTTCATTCCCCGAGATCACCTGTCCTATTGAATTCCCATTTGAAGTTGGGCTTTCAACTGCTGATGGGACTGCAGGTACAGTTTGTTCATGTTTTATGTAGCACAAATAGCAGTCAGTATCATGTAATTTCCACAGTGGAAACCATGGACTATGGAGCAATTGATGTTATCCTGATGTTTGATATCTGTGAGACAAGGAAGTGTGTGAATGTCACCATAACAGAAGACCTGGTGGACGAGCCACTGGAGTTCTTCACCTACACCCTGACAAGGACACCTTCTCTAGACCCCAGGATTGAGCTTAATCCTACTGATGGAAGAGTTGAGATAATCGATAATGATGGTGAGTACTCCTCAATGAATAAAATATTGTGATTGAATGTTTTCCAATTATATCCTCCAGTCAATATAACTGTTGGCTACAACCCAATCTCATACGTTGCAAGTGAAGGACAGGGAAGTGTGGAGCTTACAATTGTCATCTTTGACCCACCTGTTGGTGGAGCTCCACGCCCTTTCACACTTGTCATCAACACACAGGATGGCACTGCAAGTATGCTTATCTGTTTTCATCCAAACAAATGTATATAATGCAACATATAGTTGCAGGTGCTCCAGATAATGACTATAATGCTGTAATCGGTGAGATTGTGCAGTTCAATGTTGGGGAAACCTTTCAGACACACAGAATCATCATCAACGATGATATGATGTGTGAAAACGACCCAAATGAGTTCTTCTTCTCCAATATTGCCCTGGACTCTGGTGTACAACCAATATTTGTCATTCAACCTCAAGCTACAGTCACCATCAATGATGACGCAGAACCTGAATGCCGTAAGCCTTGCTTTACCTGTTGAAAAAACCCTGCATTTTACGTCACATTCCTCCAGTGCCAATTGAGGTGGGCTACGAGTTCTCAGTCTACACCACTACTGAGGGAATTGGAGTCGTAACTCTGTGTGCTGTTGTTACGAACTTCCCTGGTGGCTCTCCAAGACCATTCACTATTAATGCCACCACTGAAGATGGATCTGCTGGTATGAACAATTTTCAGCAACATGCAAATATAATTCATTCTTTCCCATTTTTATTAGTCTCTGGTGATGACTATGTTGGAGTAGTTGATGTTCCACTGATGTTTCAGGTGGGAGATGATCGTGAATGCCACGATGTCGAAATCATTGATGATGACGATTGCGAGACACCTTTTGAAGACTTCTTCTCCAACTTGGAGTATGACAGTGGGGATATGCCTATCATTATCACAAGAGATAGAACAAGGGTCATTATCAACGACACAGCTGAGCCTGAGTGTGGTAGGTATTCCATTTTGATACTGAAGCAAGATGTAATTATGCCTGTAATTCCCCAGAACCAATGACACTGTGTTGGCTACGGATCCTGCCATACAGTGACAACTGAATAGTGATGGAGTGTGACTCTCTCACAGTTATGGTCTTCAGTCATCCGCGTGGAGCTCCACGACCTTCATCTCTTGTTGTCAACCACAGATGCACAGCAAGTATGTTTTCAACTATGACCATGATACTAGTAAGCAGGTCAATACAAAAAACTCTTCTCACATTCAGCTGTTGCTGGCAATGACTATGTACCAGTGGCTGGTGAGATCATACAGTTCAGTGCGGGAGATGCGGGAGTATGTACTCGGACCACATACTATAGGATCAATGATGTGATGCGTGTGAGAGAGAATGATACCAAACGAGAATTTCTTCTCCATCATGCCCTGGGCAGTGTCTTCTGATATCACTGTGACTGTGCCTCGAGCTACCAGCACTATTCGTATGACACTTCTGAGACAGAGTGTGCGTGAGTTTTGTGTGTCATTATTTCCAGTACATGTCTCCATTTTACAGAGTCGCGATTATCTATAATATCAGGCTATTCTATTGTCCAGGCTAACTTCTTTGATGAATGATACTCTGACTGGTGATCCTCTGCTGACTGTTCCGATCTTGACCGACCCCAACGTGGAGCCTGGTGACGACATTGAGTCACTGTGCTACGAGGTCCACGGTGAAGACGGCTCCTACTTCAACCTCATCTCAGATGAATGCACCTCAGTCAATGCCTACTACCAGGAGGCCGTTACTCCCAGTCAAAACATAGATTTGAATGTAGTTACTCAGATTGGAGTGAGGGCTAGGGGCACCGATAGCTGTTGGGACATTCAGGTCAACCTGGACACCTGCAGTGCCACGGTCAATGGAGGTGCACTATTAAGCAATAGTTTCGATGGAATATCGGTGAAGCCTTACGCTTCTTCGTCTCGAGTGCGCATTTCCGTCCCGAACTGTGGTGACACCATGTTGGTCATGTGGGTGTTCTGCAGAGAAGGGCAGGTGGAGGACCCAGTCACTTGGGTGTACTATGACATCACGTTCATCCGATTCGTGGTCATGCGGGGACTCAACCTGAACGAGCAATCCCACGGACTGATTGGTCGGTAACAATCACTATTCCGTGTATTCATTGGTTTGTTCTCAATTCCAGGTCAGTTCTGGAATGTGCCAGTCACAATCAGCTCTTACACCGGGCTCTTTGGAGGAGAGGACAGAACCGATGATTACATCATCACAGTGGACCACCCTCAATCTGATCCCAGGAGCTTCGTGGGGCTGAAGAGCGATGTGACGTGGGAGTTTGAGAAGAGGGTGTGTTACTATGTCGGCAACACGCAGGCCGGGAAGCTGGCAGAGGTGTCTGATCCAAACGACTCTGTCATCGAGGGAGACTACACTGATTACAAAGTCGACTCTCTTTTCGCCACTGATTTCCAGTTCTCTCACTTCGATGTGAGCAGATGCTAGGATACCAACTGCTGCTGTACTTCAGCATTCTATTAAGAAACTTGATTCTTTTTTGGTACTCGTAGTTTTTTCTGTGCATTTGTAGTAGGTTTGTTTATATCATTATAATGCATAAAGTATCGTTTCTGAAAACTGAACATCTCACGCTATATTATATATGTAGAAAGAAAGAAAAAAGAAGAGAAAGAAAAAACAGGACTTTAGAACGGCTACAATCAACACACACATAACCATAAGGGCTTACTTTGGACTTGCAAAAACACGTGAGCTGATGCACGATGGCGGTGAAATGACTACAACAGGCAGAGACGGTACGGACACAGGCGGTGTAAAAGTTATTAAAAGGTATCAAAATAATCTAAATAAACCACACAAAAAGGTTTCCATAGGAACACAGCAGCACACAAAAACATGAGGTAAAACAGTAGTGTATGGCAGTGTTTTCGGTGATTTTTTACTACTCAGTGGGCAGTATCACTGGAGAAAGGCTTGGTGAGTGGGGAGAGTTCACCGGTGATAAAAGACTATTAACTCCGGACAAGGGGCGTATAACACCGGCCCAGAACTCTGCGCAAAAAACGCGAGAGGATGTGTTAGCGCTTTGTTAAGTAGTAATCACGTGTGAAACCATATCCGCATCTTTCGCTGTTCTGAATAGCGAGTATGTCCGGGTATTACCCCGGGTCCGAAGTACTACATTATCACGCTGCGCGCGCGTCCGCCGCCCGCGATCCGCGCGCGGGTGGCGACTTAGGACGCTGCGCAGTAGTTAACGCGCGCCGGCTGGCTGAGTGCTCAGGGGATTGGTTCGACATCCGTACATCCGGATCCGTGCGATAATGGTGTTCGTGTTAATGATTATCATTATCATTATCATGATCATTGTTCATTATTTCCACTACGTTATAATACATCCGCCTCCTGATCCTTACGATATTGGAAATTAGTGTAAGAGGTTTTTACCGGCCAGTGAGTGCAGTGCAGTGCAGTGCGAAGTGCTGCTAGTTGCTGCCGGCCTTCTGACACGGTTAAATCAACTTCGCAGCAAGCATGTTGCAGAAGTTCAGAAGTTTCTCGCGGTAACCGCGGTTGTCGGACTATCATTGTGTATGGGGTAACAGTCGTTGTCGCACGAGCGGTTGGGCTGTTTGCGAAAGAGCTGCAGCTAGCCGCGCCGAGCGATAACATTTCTCACATACGGCTTCTTCAGCGGACTGCGTCGCAAACATCTTCACTCTCCCTACAGGCCACTGCCAGTTGCTACACGGCCCAGGCTGCGGTGGAGATAGAATAGACGTTAACAGAAGGCAGGGTACCAATAGCAGATAAGCAGATGCTGTGTTGGAACTAACGCAGGTCTCTCATACAACGATGGCTTCCCCTGCAATCTCTGTATAGGTAGTCAGTTAGGTGCTTGCAAACAACTGCATTCACTGACCACTCTGTTCCTTTGTTCAGTTCATGGGTTTGCTCAAGCTGCATACGATGTCGAGAGGATCAACGGTTGGACACTAGGTTTCAACTCAATGTGAAGGGAACGACACGGTTTGCTGGTGCTCTTGTTGTCGCTGGAGTTCATCACGCCACAGCAGATGGCACGGCAGGTAAGCTGTTTACACAACGATAACATTTTGTAGCTGTTTCACCACAAAAACATGTGCCTCCCCATAGCGATTCTGACTTTGAACACGGCTCTAACACCAATCCCAGTCACAAAACAATGTGCCGAGATCAGACTCTTTGCTGCCAATGATGAGATTACTCTGAATACGATGATAGGGTCCTACTGAGTTGCTCCGGACAAGCCTGCTTCTCATTAGTCAGGCTGTACCTGCAGGGGAGAGTATGTGAGGGAGTTCCGCAACCGTGATAACATCATAGACACTGGACTGTAAGTTATCCACGTGTATGTCTGCCAGGATCTATTATTATAATTTTGTTCTCGTCAGTGTGGAGATAAACTTTTTTGGAGTCTGACTATTCGTTGTGGAGGGATACGCAGAAGCTCAGTTCTTCAATCATGATCAGTGAGACAAATTCAGAACCCATTTTCACAAACTCATGTTGAGTCCTCACAGTCAGTATTGCCTATACTGAGTACTCGGAGGGAGCAAGAACTGAGTGTCTTTATTAATTCCGCAACCTTCTACCTGGATCCAGAGCAACGGCAGGTATAGTAATGTGCACACACACTACTCTTAATTCAACAGCGTAGGTTTTGGCCTTATGCTGAGAGCGGGGCTTTGATGATTGCTTGAACGGCGCACATGTTTTAGGATTGTGGTTATATACATAGAGGGCATATACAGGAATGCAACCTGACCTTGAGATGAGTTACAGGGGACTGGGTGGTGGAGTATATACGTGTCTCTGAAGTAGAATACACAGTATTGTGCAGCACGTTGCGTTGACAACTCACAGAACAAGAAAAATAACTGGTCTAGAAGTATATGAGAACTGCAGGAGGTGTCTGAGTAGAGAAAGCATGCACAGCTACACCACAATCGAAGTGTGTTTCTGCTTCGTCTATATAGGGTCATTGTAAATGGCTTCCTGTCGTGCTCTGGCTGCTATAGCAGTAATGTAATGCACACAAGTGTATGTTTTTGTAAATTTGCGCGGTATATCCGATCTGTAATGTGGAGTAATGTCACTGTCTATCATTCTCTATCAGATGACGATTCAGTGAACAAACGTAATCACAATCCAGGTCCAGCCAACAGTAACCATCGGACAGAATAGACCAGTTTTCAATATCAGTGACGACGATGTGATGTGACGAGCAGAGCAGAGAGTTTATGCAATAGTGCTGAGATAGGGCAGGATGTGCTGATGGGTATCAGACTGCATTGCCAGACTAGACGTTGGAGCAACAGAGTGCTGTGGACGACGTGGAGGACCACTGAATTAGAATCACCGACAATGATCGTATGTGTCATCTCTATCGTTACTTGTCTTGTTCTACGCTTGTTGCTATCTGTCCGCTAGCTCTGCTCATTGGGTTCACCCACGCATTCGAACAGTATAGAAGGTCAAGTGCCTGGAGTGGATCTGTTTCCAGCTGGAGATCAAAGTGTATCTAGATGTGAGGACAGCTGAAAGAGAGCATCCAATGGTGTTCCGTCTCCAGGAAGCCAGTACTACTGCACTGTCGAGACACTGATAGCATCTAGTCCATTTTATGATGCATACATTGGTACTAAGGGCAAACCCGATGATCCCATTCAGGAAGCCGTGATCTGGCCCCAGGATCACGTACAATTCAACCATTGCTGCTACAGCCATCAGAAATGACTTGATCCAGAGGACCTAGAATGCTACACTATACGCATATTCCTGTCGATGTTGCTGGTCGCCGGGAGCTGTTGATGCATGAGGACGCTGATATGCAGATAAAGACTTCTGTGAGCACACTATCTGCATCATTAGACGATGATGGTGAGATTTTGGTTGTTTTTCGTACATGTTTTATGTTTTATCAGGAACTCTCTGCAGAGCATTGAGGTTGCTTTTGTAAGAACATGCCACTGTTGATGAGAGTGCGTGTCCCGTGTTGTCTGTGTCAATCTCACTCGACCTGAATTTGACATTCTGGATGAAAACTGTCAATGTCTTTGTCACTGACTCCCACCTTCCATGTACATCCAGTTGGTGATGTTTCTCTTGCAAGTGAGTCATCCAGCGCAAATAAAAGACAATTTTACATATCCTTTCCTCCCCAGCCCCTGATATTCCTGACTTCTCAGTCGGTATCCGATGGCAGAGAGATCCGACTTTCAACAGCAGACTGCTCTCGTCAATTTAATTGACGATGTCCTTATTAGTGAACTGATGAGAATGGTCTGCTACAACCAGACCATCTATGACGACCTACGTTTGGAAGCGAATGAATATGCAGGCCTCATGCTTGAAGTGAGGGATAATCTGCAAACCACAGTTCTTACTCTGGAAAAGGATTTGTTTAATGAATCATCCATTCTTATTGTGGACAATGACAGTGAGTTTTATGCAAAGTACTGTATACTGCAGGAAAGATTTGTAACCATTGGTTTTGTTCTGCAGGGGCTGTGGTGGGTCTGGAGATGACATTTTTCAGTGTCTCGGAAGGTGTTGGTTACGTTGAGCTCTGTGCCAATGTTTCATTCCCCGAGATCACCTGTCCTATTGAATTCCCATTTGAAGTTGGGCTTTCAACTGCTGATGGGACTGCAGGTACAGTCTGTTCATGTTTTATGTAGCACAAATAGCAGTCAGTATCATGTAATTTCCACAGTGGAAACCATGGACTATGGAGCAATTGATGTTATCCTGATGTTTGATACCTGTGAGACGAGGAAGTGTGTGAATGTCACCATAACAGAAGACCTGGTGGACGAGCCACTGGAGTTCTTCACCTACACACTGACAGGAACACCTTCTCTAGACCCCAGGATTGAGCTTAATCCTACTGATGGAAGAGTTGAGATAATCGATAATGATGGTGAGTACTCCTCAATGAATAAAATACTGTGATTGAATGTTTCCAATTATATCCTCCAGTCAATATAACTGTTGGCTACAACCCAATCTCATACGTTGCAAGTGAAGGACAGGGAAGTGTGGAGCTTACAATTGTCATCTTTGACCCACCTGTTGGTGGAGCTCCACGCCCTTTCACACTTGTCATCAACACACAAGATGGCACTGCAAGTATGCTTATCTGTTTTCATCCAAACAAATGTATATAATGCAACATATAGTTGCAGGTGCTCCAGATAATGACTATAATGCTGTAATCGGTGAGATTGTGCAGTTCAATGTTGGGGAAACATCTAAGACACACAGAATCATCATCAACGATGATATGATGTGTGAAAACGACCCAAATGAGTTCTTCTTCTCCAATATTGCCCTGGACTCTGGTGTACAACCAATATTTGTCATTCAACCTCAAGCTACAGTCACCATCAATGATGACGCAGAACCTGAATGCCGCCGTAAGCCTTGCTTTACCTGTTGAAAAACCCTGCATTTTACGTCACATTCCTCCAGTGCCAATTGAGGTGGGCTACGAGTTCTCAGTCTACACCACTACTGAGGGAATTGGAGTCGTAACTCTGTGTGCTGTTTACGAACTTCCCTGGTGGCTCTCCAAGACCATTCACTATTAATGCCACCACTGAAGATGGATCTGCTGGTATGAACAATTTTCAGCAACATGCAAAATAATTCACTCTTTCCCATTTTTATTAGTCTCTGGTGATGACTATGTTGGAGTAGTTGATGTTCCACTGATGTTTCAAGTGGGAGATGATCGTGTATGCCACAATGTCGTAATCATTGATGATGACGATTGCGAGACACCTTTTGAAGACTTCTTCTCCAACTTGGAGTATGGCAGTGGGGATATGCCTATCATTATCACACGAGATAGAACAAGGGTCATTATCAACGACACTGCCGAGCCAGAGTGTGGTAGGTACACCATTTTGATACTGAATCAAGATGTAACTATGGCTGTAATTCCCCAGAACCAATCACTGTTGGCTACAATCCTGCCACATACTATGACAACTGAAAGTGATGGAAGTGTGACTCTCACAGTTAGGGTCTTCAGTCATCCCGGTGGAGCTCCACGACCTTTCACTCTTGCCATAAACACACAAGATGGCACTGCAAGTATGTTTCTAGCTGCAAAATACATGCAAATTGAGCGTTTGCATCTTTTCATACAGCTGTTGCAGACGATGATTATGTACCAGTGGATGGTGAGATCATACAGTTCAATGCGGGAGATGTCACTCAGACCCACACAATCACTATCAATGATGATGATGAATGTGAGAAGGATCCAAACGAGAATTTCTTCTCCAACATTGCCCTGGACAGTGGTATTCCTGATATCACTGTGACTGTGCCTCAAGCTACAGTTACTATTGATGACACTGCTGAGCCAGAGTGTGGTAAGTAATTGTTTATACTACAGTAGGCAAGAAAAGTAAAAGTATTGTGTGTTCTCTTCCTTTAGCACCAATCACGGTTGGCTACGATCCTGCAACATATATGACAACTGAAAGTGATGGAAGTGTGACTCTCACAGTTAGGGTCTTCAGTCATCCCGGTGGAGCTCCACGACCTTTCACTCTTGCCATAAACACACAAGATGGCACTGCAAGTATGTTTTCACTAGTCTGACAAAATACATGCATATTATTACTCTCTCTATTATCACAGCTGTTGCAGACAATGATTATGTACCAGTGGCTGGTGAGATCATACAGTTCAATGCGGGAGATGTAACTCGGACACATACTATTAGGATCAATGATGATGATGAGTGTGAGAATGATCCAAACGAGAATTTCTTCTCCATCATTGCCCTGGACAGTGGTATTCCTGATATCATTGTGACTGTGCCTCGAGCTACAGTCACTATTGATGACACTTCTGAGCCAGAGTGTGGTGAGTTTTTGTGTGTATATATTTCAACGTAACATGTTCATTTTACAGAGTCGAGCTTTCTTTGTGAATGATACTCTGACTGGAGATCCTCTGCTGACTGTTCCGATCTGGACCAACCCCACCGTGGAGCTTGGTGACCCAGTCGAGTCGCTGTGCTACGAGGTCCATGGTGAAGATGGCTCCTACTTCAACCTCATCTCAGACGAATGCACCTCAGTCAATGCCTACTACCAGGAGGCCGTTACTCCCAGTCCAAACATAAATTTGAATGTAGTTACTCAGATTGGAGTGATGGCTAGGGGAGACACCGCCTGTTGGAACATTCAGGTTGATTTGGATGGGTGCAACACTACAGTCAGTGGGGAGTTATCTTTAGGTACCGATTTCGATGGAATATCGGTGAAGCGTTACGCTACATCGTCTCGTGTGCGCATTTCCGTCCCGAACTGTGGCGACACCATGTTGGTCATGTGGGTGTTCTGCAGAGCAGGGCAGGTGGAGGACCCAGCCACTTGGGACTACTTTGACATCAGGTTCATCCGATTCGTGGTCATGCGTGGACTCAACCTGAATGAGCAATCCCACGGACTGATTGGTTGGTAACAATCACTATTCCATGTTATGTGTATTCACTGATTTGTACTCAATTCCAGGTCAGTTCTGGAACGTGCCAGTCACAATCAGCTCTTACACCGGGCTCTTTGGAGGAGAGGACAGAACCGATGATTACATCATCACAGTGGACCACCCTCAATCTGATCCCAGGAGCTTCGTGGGGCTGAAGAGCGATGTGACGTGGGAGTTTGAGAAGAGGGTGTGTTACTATGTCGGCAACACGCAGGCCGGGAAGCTGGCAGAGGTGTCTGATCCAAACGACTCTGTCATCGAGGGAGACTACACTGATTACAAAGTCGACTCTCTTTTCGCCACTGTTTTCAAGTTCTCTCACTTTGATGTGAGCAGATGCTAGGATACCAACTGCTGCTGTACTTCAGCATTCTATTAAGAAACTTGATTCTTTTTTGGTACTCGTAGTTTTTTCTGTGCATTTGTAGTAGGTTTGTTTATATCATTATAATGCATAAAGTGTTCCCTATAAGGACTTGCGATACATTACTCAAATAGTTACTAAGGCCAGCAAATCCCAGATGAAACCAGGACAGTTTTAAAAATTACTTGAAGTTTGTTCTTTCTTGGATGTGAGCAGATGTTAGCTACATTGCGAATAGTTTGATGAGTGGCGTGCAGGTCATGAAGGTATTAGACCATGTGATGCCAAGAGAAAAAAAGATGCGAGCTCTGGACAGCTGTTCAGGCTTGTTGGCCCTCATCAGCAGAGCATACCACAACTTCTCTCTCTGGCATCAAGAATTTATAAAGGCTACCATGAGTGCAGCACTTGTGGTTCTGAACTAAATGCACACTATGAAGTTCGGAGTGACTATCAGTGATAAAACATTAATGTAGTGGATAGTGTGATGAGTTGGGTGGATGCAGTTGGGATGCTCCAGTAAAAGCAGAGAAATTTGGACCACAGGGCTTGTAATAAACCATGCTTGCTCAGCAAGGCACCCTCTAGCTAGAAATCAGGCTCCAGCAAATGGTAATTAGTATCTTTTAGAGGCTGGTTGGTAAGTAGGTACCAGGGTACCTATAGTCCCAAAGGTTAGCGATTCACAGGTTTTGCTGCAAAATTAGCATGGGTGGGTGCTTCTCTACACCCAGCTTCATTTCAGAACACTTGTTTCTGAAATTTTGGTTACAAACACCAACCAGCTGTCACTGTGATGCACATTGTGGGTTTATACCACATTGTGCACATAATTATGCTGATTATAACATTATAATCATAGTTTAGCACCTTCTCTTATACTATGCCCGACTAACTATCAGCTGGGCATACATGGAAAACAGTGTTCTTTCATGCAGCTGTTTCAACTATTAGTATCAAGAATATATACCTGGTGGTTCCCCACTTCATACAAACACAACAAGACGTCACGGTCAACGGCAGCTATTGCTCTGGCATAGCCCCCTCGCATATACCATCCTTTACCTGCATGGTGACGCAGGAACTTCATCTGGTCACGCATGCGCACATTGATCGACATCGGCGGAAAAACGTCGCGGCGCCAGCAGCGCATGGCCAGCCATAGCCATCGGGGGGCCCCCGGGGGTTTAATTACATTAGAAGGTAGCTAGCTGCCCCGTTGGGGAGCCGAGCGGCTATTATTTTTTGCGTATACTGCAGGAAATATATACCATCAGCAGCGCCCTAGCCAGCAGGCCATCCAGCCTGTGATGACTCAGGACAATGCGAAGATGGCTGTAGCTCAGTAGCTAACATCGGGACTAGGTTTTCTATAATCTCCAGGTCGAAAAATACAAGCACATACCTACCAACCATCCGGCATCTGCAGGTTGGTAGGTATGCAAGCAGGAAAGTGTGTAGCGGCGCTGCTGCACGGCCTCTACACGGCCTCTCAATTCATGCGCGCATGCGTATGCGCATGTTCTGCGCGTGCGCGCACAATGCCGTGCGACACGTTTTATATCGGATCGCGGAAGCGCGCCAACGCAGTAGATAGTAGTAGTACGGCAGTTCCCGCGTGTTTCTTCGACCATGCGGCAGCTCCACTACACGTTGGCAGTGATCCTCGCGTCGCTATTGGCTGCCAGTAGCGTCGCAGCGTCAAGCTGTCCCAATTTCACAAAAGAGCTCCTGGAAGACCTACTTAGTAATGAAGCAAGGAAGATAACGATTGCGAATGACGAGACTCTGTGTGACAATGACCAGCAGCTGACTTCTGACGCGGAGAGGGCTGCAACAGTAATTATCGAGTACAGCTGCAGCGGGGAGGATTGCGTGGTAACGGGGCACGACTACGCATTGGTTGATATAAGGTGTATCGACGGGATTTGGAACGAAGAAAGCTTCGCCCCAAGGCAGAGTGATCTGTATGGTTTAGTGAGCACCGGAGGCATAATTCCGAACTCTTGCGCCGATTGCATCGACATGACGACCCTCATCGAAATCGAAACTACCCCAGAAACCCTCCGGGAAATTTGGATTACAACGAGACAACACACTGTCTGGGTAAGTTTTACCTGCGCAGAAACATGGTGCGAACTGACGCGTGGCTGCGACATACGCATGCGCGTAAAACTACATAATATTTATATACTACGCAGAGAAACCTTTGCATGTTCCTGTTTACACACGTTTATACTAAGCACATACTTGTTGGTAGCTGTTCATAGTAAATCTTCCTGTGTGTCCACTTCTGAGTTTGTGGACAGATGCTGGACCTGACTTTGTGGCCTAGCCCCACAGTTCCAAAATGTTACATAAAACCACCACCTTTTACTTAGTCTTCCCTTTCATGTGTTTAGAGACTGTCAATAATGCATTATCTCCACAGTGTTGGAGGTGATTATTATTCGGTGTTGCGTCACCCTAAAAGTGAATCACTTTTTGGTGTCTAGCTAGGCGGAAGCCCCTTGGTAAAGACATTCACGCAGACCCCATACTCCAAAGAAAAGGCAGCCAGTGCTCGTTCATAGGAAGCCAGTTTTAGACCCCCTCTTCCCCAAACCCACTGCACACACCTCCTCCCTCCCTCAAAAAACCTGTTTTTTATCAAAGATTCTTTTTGGAACTACAACTGTTGTTACAGCAAATGAGACAGTTGCACCATTCTCAGGCCACTGAAGATCTGGGGTGTGATAAAACAATGTGGAGGAAAAACATCGAGTGATCTCTCCCCATCTTCTGACTCTGGCGTAGCCTCCATTGTCCTTCATGCCCGCAAACATGTTGTAGATGGTCAGCAACAGCTGCAGAAGGCCTGCTGAGACCTATGCTCTGTAAAAAGCTGTGGTTGCAGTTAGTTCCAATGCCGGCAGTAGTTAACCCAGTTTTACTGGATTGGCAATCCTGCAGCCCTCAGATTACCAGTAAATAATTGTTACTCTAAGTCAAGCCTTTGATGTTAGTTAACCCAGTTTTACTGCATTGGCAATCCCTCAGCCCTCAGATTACCAGTAAATAACTGTTACTCTAAGTCAAGCCTTTGATGTTGGTTGTCACTTTGCAATACATGAGCAATTTACCCAAGGTTCAAAGGCTAGGAAATGTTCTAAGGGCCAGAACGGAAAGGTTTCTACTCTTTAGTCTGAGGTGTAAAAATCCGTCTCTGACCACACCATATAGCCCTGCATAAACCAACTACTTTCTCAATGTACATTCCAAACTGTGGCTTGGTCAGACTTACATGTGTAGCCCAGCCCCCCCTTTCCCTGTTGTCTATGAATTAGCTCTTGAGGGCAGATAATCCATAGTTAGAAGAGCTCACAATAGACTTACTATTATACACTAACATAGCTTCCATGGGATATTATTCTCTGCTAAGCTCTGCAAGTGGACAATAAAACTCTTCCCTATTTGAAATGGGCTAGAATAACCTGTTACCATCCTAGCTTCTGTTAAAAACACACTCTCTCGTGACAGCAACGTGTGATACCAGCTGGCTGGATAGATGCTGTGCGTGCAACAGAGCGAGGAAGCTTATTCTTGTAGACTGAGCCTTATAAGTTAATGTTGGGACAGAGGTAATAATAAAACTCCCCAGACATCAGGAGTTAGAACACAATGGCTTGGATTGTATGGACATGACCAAGAAGAATGGAGTTACAAGAGCTAATCAGCAACCGTGAAATATTTTGGTTCATTGGTATTGCAACAGTACAGCCCACAATCCATCTGATAGCTTCCCTGTTTGCATAGTCCTAATCTCTATCAGCATTGGTATGAACCTAGATAGCCCGTGCATTGTTGAGACAGATGTAGGAACTGTAATGCTGTCATTGGTCAGCTGCCTTCTGACTGGGGAATGGGCTGATGAAGTTAACCAAATGCTGTGTTGTAGTTATAGTACTCTCAAACAGTCATTATCTACATGGTTGTCTGCTGAGCCATTAAATGTAGAGGCACAACTCATGCCCAGTCTGCAACACCTGCTTGCTAGCCTGCTGGTCTGCTCTTATGGACGCTATGTGGGGTTATATATTTCAAATTGAGAGCCGCATTAATGATGGATAATTGGCTTTCTAGCATGCTAGATGTATGAGTGAAATTACAGATTGTGCAAGTTCGTTGAATTTTGTATGATACATTTCTGTCACATGCAGAGCTTCCCATGTGCCATGGATCTGATGAGTCTTTCCTCGGGTACTTCAGTGCTAGAGAGTGCTGTGTAGATATAGAGGAAGGTTCTCTTACACCTATGGAGAAAAACTTCACCTGCATTTGGTGTGTTACGGCTAGAAGTGTGTCGATTTGCAGTTTGCATGTTTGCTAATTCATCTTACAGTCCACGGATTTTGAGAAGACACAATACACTGTGTTGGAAGGCGATACTGTTGATGTCATTTTCAAAAGAAACGTAAAAAAGCGTAACTGCATTTCCACTCCTCACAATCGAAGGCAGTATTGTAACAGAGGATATAAACGTTGACGGTAAGTCCGAAAGCAGTGAAACCTCTGAAAATGTATACACCCTCTGAAAAGCTATCTCTAAAGGACACTTTGTTCTGTCCCATTCTAGTACCTCCAAATATAGGACACCTCTGAATAAAGTACATTTTAAACGTCTCCAAGGTGTCCTTTATTTGAAGGTTTCACTCTACAACTGATCACAAAGCCACTTCCCTTCTCCAGACTTCATCCCAGTTTCTGTCACACTACTGCGGCGCGAAGAGTCAAAGACCATCTCAGTGACAGCTAGAGATGACGACGTAGCTTTAGAGGGTGGCGACAAATCATTCTGAGGCACACAAGTGGTATCAATAACTATGTGGATGCAGTGGAACAAAGGGGGAGTTATCCGCTACACCACAGAAGTCATCATCATTGACAAAAACGGTAAGAACCACGGTGAACTAGCCCACTTTGATTTCTCAATAGTGAAGCCAAAAGCTAGGGTAACCTCTGAAATATGTGCCTATGCCAAGTGACATTATTTCCAGTAATAAACATTTTACAAGGGCAAAGTATTTGTACTGAAAACACTCTTGGCTTGCACTACAGTTTTCAATGATCATCACTTACAAGGGGTTGAGCATAGGAATGTGTGTGTAATTATCATTTCCAACTCTTCTAATGTGTTACGCAGAACTACTGCTGATTAATGTGGAGAAGTCATACACCGTGTTGGAGAACAACATAACAGAGCGTAATCTCACGGTTACATGGCAGGAGAACCTGTCAAACCAGAAGCCCATCATTCTGAAACTCACAGGGAGAAGTCTGGACGTCAGTGGCGTCAATCAGGATAATATCGCAAGGCCAGGACAGGATTTTGTCGAGGACACAGTAGACTTTGTAATCCCAGAAAACAGAGTTGGACAGTATGATATCAGCCTATTCGACTTCATTATCAACGACGGCACCGTCGAACACACGATTCAAAGCTTTGATCTGGAAATAAAGGCTGCCACAGAAGGAGTTGTGTTTGACTCAGAGAATTCTACTGAGACAGTGACTGAGGTGGCAATAGAGTGCACTGACAGTAAGGTTTCTGAATCTGGTAGCCTTGTAATTTAGCCCTCTTTCCTACAGTGGCTGAGATTCGTCTCAACATGTCTGATATCGAATTCAACGAAGAAGACGAAGGTCCATTTAATGTGTGCGTGATCGTAGAGAGTGAAGAAGATGATTGTCCAGTAGAGTTGATATTGAATTTACCATTAGGTTTACCAGGATATCAAGTAAGTGATTCATACCGACCCATGTTATGTGTGGAGACTTGCACAGACACGGTTTATTGGTCAATGTGTGTGTATCTGCCTGTTGCAATCTTTTCGGCAACTGTGGATAATAAATGATGACAAAGGGCTCAATAGCCTAATTCATAAAAGTAAAGGACAACTTGTGCCATGAAAAGCAAGCCATTTACTAGCTTACTATTACAAAAGTCAGCATCTTATGGTGGAAGGAACACAGAGATCAAAGAGTCCTGAAATGCCTAAACCACAACGTAGCGATAGAGCAAGCTTTGGCGACCCGACCACCCACTTATTGTTACCGCTGCACATGCGTGTTTTCAATACTTAACAACCACATATAATATAGTAGTAAACATCGCGTGCACTTTAGTGCCTCTCTCTTTCCCAGGATCAACTGATGGTACGGACAATGGCGATAACATTGATCACGGCGGAGATCAAATCTGTCGCAATGTGATCTTGGATCCGTGTAATACAACAGCCTGTGTGGATCTCAAAGATGTCTTCAACATTACAGATGATAATGAATATCATCTCCAATCGTTCAACGTGTCTCTCTTATCTAATACTAGCAGGGATTCTGAAGACATAGGGATACTCGAAGTCTTTACAGAAGTCAGGAATTTAAAGTACTAGAGGATGACCGTAAGTGTGGTGGTTTTAGTAAGTGTTTGATTATTATATTATTATTATTGTGCTGCTTTTATATCTAGTCTGCTGCTTAAGTTGGAACAGAGCGAATATTACATTTTTGACTCCAACAAATCCGTTGAAATATGTCTGAAAGTAGAAAATGGTGGAAATGAGGATTGCCAGGCAGATGCTGATTTCTATTACCGTGTTCACACATACGGTGGAAATGCAAGTAAGATTGATAATATATTGACTGAGGCTCTGAATTGAACCCCTGGTTTTGTACAGCTCATACTGAGGACTATGCGCCACTTGGTGAACCTCACAACCGCCAGGGTGGGCTGATGAAATTTGATAAATGTGGAAATAAGAGCTGCTTCTACATCAACATTACTGACGATTCCACCACTGTCGAACAAGTAGAGTACTTTAATTTCAGCCTGACCATCGAGAATGATGGGAACAAATATGCGGAACAGCTGAATGAAACTGGAGCTGTCTTTCTCCTACCAAAACGTATGTTAGCTTTACGAGTACCGTTTAGCACGGGAAGCTTTCGAGGGAGACGTGTTTTCCCTAGTTTTAGAGCAGTATGTAAAGTTTTACGATAATACTGGGACATGGTAGTGGGAGAACAAGAAATCAATTTTCTCTGCAATTTTCACTTTACGGCTCTGCCGGGAAGGAAAATAAGTTTGCCCTCTTCCCTCCCACATCTAAACTAAGCTTTATATAAGACCTGTGCTGGGTATTTATCCGGGGCTGTGTTATAGTAATCCTTTTCCTCCCAACATACCTTTCCTCTTAGCGAATGTGAGTCTTATGATGGACACAATCATTGGCACTGAAGGAGCCACAGATCACGTGTGTGCTAGCCTCAGCTACGACGAGCACTACAACATCACAGTTTCAGTCGATGTTGTCCTTCTGTTTGGGGATGATCCTGAAACTGCAGCATGTTGTTGTACCTACAGGTTCTTACGAGGTGTGACCAGTACTCTCTTCACTTTAGATATCAATGATTTACAGCCCTGTAACCAGACGATGGTGTTCAATTCAGCAGCAGAGGCCTGCGTGGCTATTTTACTTAATGATGATGACATGGTTGAATTGGATTCTGGGTTCTTTAGGGAGACCTTCAGAGTGTCGTTAGAACCAAATGGACGACTACTCAGTTCTATTTGGAGAGACAAGATCTGCACGAGTTGGAATTAAGGATAATGACAGTGAGTAGTATAGATCACCAGGCTAATGGAGCCTTTGTTACTGAGCTATGTATGATGCTGTACCATTTTCTACCTGCCTTTCTACTCTCCAGTGGTGAGGGTGGAAATGGATCTGATGCAAGTACGCTCACCATAAGAGAAGGGCAGCACATGAACCAGCTCAAATATGTGCTAAGATAGTGGCACCACATGCTGTTTGTCCAATTGAATTTTCTGCTTCGTTTGCCTTCCTTTCTGAAACGACTGGCTCAGCAGGTATATTACTGTTGCGGTATTTCTGGAGATGTACTGTTAAACTTCCTGTATTACTTAGAATCAGGACAACCGAAGATTTTGTGGCACTCTCAATAATGAAACCGATTAGGAAGTGTGAAACTGCAACGTGGCTGAATTGGTCTAAATGACGACAATATAGTGGAAATGGACGAAGTTTTTGATGTGTATATAACAAACAGTCCGGGCCTGATTCAAAGCATCGATATTGATCGTAGCAGAAGAGCCGTAACGATTATTGATGATGACAGTAAGTTCTGGGTCGCTAGGTCATTGCTCTATATAAACTATCCTTTATCTCTCTCACTCAGTTGCTATAATTGGTCCTCCTCCGATCATTGAAGGCTATGAATCACGTGGTGTTGTAGAGGTTAATATTGTTGCTGCCGAAGGGCTCGATGATGACTGTCAAGTGGATTTCCATGTTAATCTCAACCTCACTATCCCTGACGGTTAGGCATCATATTACGCACACACATATGTATCTTTATGACTGCAGTTTTTCCCCTTATGTTTCAGTGTTCAATGAAATTCTGGTGTTTCAGCCGTGTGATAAGATAGAGTACAGTTTTCAGCTGAATATTGATGACGACAAGGTGGAGGAGAGCAACGAAGAACTAACGATAATTTTGGAAAATATAGACCACGCAACAATATTGTGCTCAAGAGTGGAACTATTGTAGTCATGGATGATGGAGATCGTGAGTGTTGCATAAGTAGACAGTTGTTTTATTAATTTCACTATTATGTATCTCCGGCAGTTGGTATTGTGAGTGTGACTGTGGACGACGTGAAAGAGGGACTAAATACAACAGTGTGTGCTGTGGTAGTTGACCCTATTCTCGATTGCCCAGTTGGTTTCCCGTTTAATGTTTCGTTAGAGCTCCACTACAACGGAGACCCTGAAAGTATGAGTTGGCAAAATCCGTATTCGTCTGTCAGTTCTTTTCTTTACCCTGCAGATAAAGTGTTGGTTTTTGCTGAATGTGACCAAGCCAAATGTGTGGATATTCCAATACCTGATGACAAATCTGTTGAACAGCAGAATTTTACATTGAATGCTGCTCTCAAAGGCAACACTACCAAGCTCAGTCTACTAAAGAATGAAATTACAACGCGAGTTCAGGAAAATGATAGTAAGATCAACCAATAGTGTTGCAGGTGGTGGTTAACACACTGTTTTGAATCTTACAGAGGCTTTTGTTGGCTTTGAACAGACGGAGTATTTCTCATCAGAGGGAGGAGGAATGCTAATAATCTGGGTGACTGTCAAATTGAACAATTCAGACGTCTATAAATGCCCTGTTGGCTACGACTTTGAAGTCGATGTTACAACTCACAGAATCAGTGCCAGTGAGTTGCTGCTTGTTATTATTATCCAGCCATAATTACTGTGGTTCACGTATCTTCCAGTTCCTGGGGAGGATTTCAAACATATCGAGGACAAGTTACTTATTCCTGCTTGCTCCACGCGTGTACCGCTAAACATCAGTATTATCAATGATACCATTGACGAACCGGAGGAAATGTTTGGCCTTTCTGTCGACGTTCAAGGGAAGGACGGAATCTGTATTCAACAAGGGACTGCCAACATTACTATAACTGACAGTAAGAGAGTAGATTCCACTTGGCAGAACTAAATCTATAATATTATACTAACTTGTCACTCAGTATAATAGTGGGCTTCACTCAGAAGAGTATACTTTCTACGATGACGTCGGTAAGCCCGTGTGTGTGTTGGGTTCAGGAGTAGCTGTAAACACGACGTGAGTCTATCATTGGAACTGACAACCACTGGTGGAAACACAGGTAATGTACAATCCCTGCACTCGAGCACCAACACAATGCCTAATTCTTACATTGCAGATGATAGCGTTTACTCTGGTATCACTGAGTCCCTGACGCTCGACAGTTGTGAAGATGAGTGTGTGGCTATCACCATCCATAATAACGATTCCCTGAAGAAGGATAAGGAATCTTATTTCGACGTAAATTTAAGTCTAAATGGTAAACCAGATGGAGTCAAACTCTCCCCTGCCAAGTCAAAGGTCACTATCATAGACTCAACTAGTAAGCGGAGAATCATGTGTAAGAAAACTGTGATGAATTATTGAATTTCTGCAGCGGTAAATTTGACCCTCAATATTATGGAAGAGAGTGTGGTGGAAGGAAGTAATGTAACACTGTGTCTGGACGTTGTCAGTGACCTGGAGTGCCCCATTGAATTCCCATTCGAATACTTTTTATCTACTAGTGGGCAGAATCCATCAGGTAAGAAAAACCACCGACAATATGACAAACGTTTTTGCTCTATACACTATGTCTGTTATGGTATGTATATACATTATGTTGATTTATACCTCAATTTGTAGAGTGTGGAAAGTGTGATTTTGAAAATCGCACAGACTTCATCGTGAACTTTAATAAATGTGACAAACAAAACTGCGTGGAAATTAAAACCAAAACAGACGACACTCTTGAGAGCAACGAGCAATTCGACGTAACTCTGACAAGACACACTGATGACCCCAGGATTCAACCTCCGGAAATCATCAAAAATTTCACCATTACTGATGAGTTAACTGGTGTGTGGTACTTTACTAGGCTGGTACTGGTATCGTGCATGTGATGTATATACACCCCTGGGAAGGGTCCTCTGCTGGTCTCAGCTGGTGCAAATAAACCACAATCCATGTGCGGCTTTTCTGTAGAGTATCATTAATTTGGTACATAGTCAACCACTTGTTTGTACGTAATGGCTGCTTGATTATCAAACTAAGGTGTTTTTGGCCTTGATGTTGTATGACACTTGGGTTTTCAAATAGTGTCCAGCGGTTGCTCATGCAGGTTTTGTAACCTTGTTTTCTCCAGCTGTTGTGTATGTCAATATAAGTCCTGAAACCAACACTGTCTCCGAAGACAAGGGTGTTCTAAAGATATGTGCAGAGATGACAGGCTGTTGTCCTGTCCAACCAGAATTCAGTATACCATTTGAAATTACAAGTGGGACTGCAGGTTCGAACTCAGTTGCCAGTATATTTTAGCTGCTAAGGCTTACCTGTCACAATGTTCTACCTCACAGTATATGGGAAAGACTTTCGGGTGGAAACTGACCGCATTGCATTTAAGTCCTGCCAAAACATGAGCTGTATAGATGTGGAGATCATAGACGGTGAATCCCTGGAAAAAACTGAGTGGTTCAAGATTGAATTTATGATGGCTACCCGCACTGCTCGTAGCGAACACTCGTGGATTGACCGTATCCAACTCCAGGGACAAGTCCAGAACATTACCATTGAAGATACTCGGGAAAGTTAGTGGATATGCAAGCAGTCTTTAGTTAAATGCTCTAGCTATAATGATCCTGAACTTATCTTTGAGCTTAGTTCAGAAAGGGCTCAACCTTGAGAGCAGGGTGTCTAGGGCAGCTAATTTTAGGTGTGTTGCCAATTTATAGTTACTTATCTAGGGAGTCTATTGGAGCAGTTCACCTCAGAGTGTCACATTTACTCTTCCACTCTTCTCCGCATGCAGTGGTCACGGTTTCTCTGGACCTGATGAGGATCTCATAGTCCGAGAGAATGAGACCAACCTACTGAGTGTGTGTGTGCAGATTTGGACTACGCTATTTGATTTCCAGTTCAGTGTTAATTTTATACTGAAATCTGCTGAAGGAGATGGTAAAATTTAGGTACATATGCATGTGTCCCTATCTAATAACGTTTTTTCCCACAGTAATAAATGTGACACAGGAACCGCGAGGAATGGCTTAATGAAAATCTGTGCAAATATAAGTTTCACTGCACCAGTAAAACCCGGACAACTGAAAGAGTTTATAGTTACTCTGGAGATACTTGGTACCCTGTATGACGGAATCAGACTGAGCGGCCAACTCAAGATCTTTGTGTGTGATGAGATTGGTAAGATGGGCTGGGCTGCAAGATGTCTGCTGCAACAATAATCGCATGATGTGTGGGTATTTCAGGGGCTTGTGGACACAATCCAGGGTCTATAATTACCACAAATGGATACTTACTTATCGCGCGAGCTCGCGCGCGCACGGCCTTTTGTAGAGTCCGTCCGCGCATGCGCGTTATCCGCCCACGATCCTTAACGCGGACGGCGCGAGTAAAAAGAGGTAGCGCGCGCCCAGACCAAGCTAGTCTCTCTGTCCCTCCGTCTCGTCAGCCAGCGCCGGCAGAGATGTTGCAGTCCAGCTTACTAGCGACTCTTCTCGTTGCGAGCTCCCTGTTCGCTCGCGGAGGTGAGTTATGCGCGCAGCGTTGCGGCGGTTATGTCAGAAAAGAGCAAGTGTTGGTGTCTATTCCGAGTATTAGCTCTCTTATATTTAGTATGTAAGACATACTGCGGACCCACACTGCATTTATTGAGCGGGAGGGCTCGTGTTTTGCTTGAGTTTAGATTTCCGCGCTCCCTGACCGGAGCCATCACCGCGTTTCGGTAGATTCTGTGCCCGACACTCGCGTATATACGGAAAATTCTCCAAGATGAGATGACCGCTCTGTGCAACGCGCGGCCGACGACGTCCTCGCCGTATGTAGCGCGTGCGCGCAAAGAGCGGCGGCAGCGCGGCTGAGGCGCACAAACAGGATGCAACACCTGCGACGAGCGGATGTGGTGTAGAATATGAAATCACTCTCAGTCACACATCTCTTGTACAGGCTACATGCCCTAAGTGCAAAATTCTCTGCCTTCCACCAAAACTTCACTGCCGACATGTAGTCGGTAGGTAAAACCCAGCACAGTGCACTGACTGGCAAACTTTGTCTGATATCTAGCTAACAATTATATAATAGTACTTTCCCACTCTCTCTCTATCTTTCACAGAATGTATGGTAGAGATGTTACTGGCACTATGTGATTGCACTGGGGAGCTGCTCTCAGTGAGAGGATCCGCCACCGCGAGACAGTGCTGCACTGGGTCTGATGTGGTCTCAGTCTTATACAAACCAATTGGATGCAGTTGCCAGCCATGCATCGGTGAGAACCCTCCTTTACTACGTGTACCCCTCCCCCCAAACTTTACTACTCTACCCCTACCCCTATACTCCTAAAACCAATTTTTGTACTAAGCTTGTTCTGTGTAATCACCACACTTGCTACTTCACAGTAAGGTTGGATTTCATGTTCTATAATGTGGGTTGTGAAGCATGTCCATGCACCAGTTATTGCTAGTTATGCTCAGACTAGCCACAACTAGTAAAGTAAACCCTTTCAACTACAGTATTACGTTCGTTTGAGCCAAGTGAATTAACCACAAAAGCTTGCTGCATGGCTTGCAATTACTACTCTTTGGTGAGTGCCTTGCATTGCATGTAGCCAATATCGTAGATCTGTCTGTCATCAGCAGTTGTACATTCCCTCACAGGGACTATCATGCTGGGGGTGGGTTGGGAGCTCACACAGCTATACACTACACACACCCCACACAGCACCCTCTGATGCTAACCCTTGAACAGCCCACTCATTCTTTGGACGCATGCTCTACCAATACCTATAGCTACGTGACCGCGTTGGGGAGAATCAGCAGCCTAAACCTACTCCCGAGTAGTGTTGGTTGAAACCCCAGACCACAGCCACTACTTTGCTTTTACAAGCCTTTTATTCCTCTGTCCGGAATTATCTCTATCTAGGTAACAGCTGTCGGCTTTATCTTGCTCCTGAGAGATCATAGTGGCTATACCCAAACTGCGGCATCACCTCACATACTGCATGGCAACTGCTCAGGACAGCAGTAGTCGCTTCACGCGGCTTTAGGTTTTCCCCTGTACACGCGGCTAGGGAATGAGCTCATCTTTCAGTGTGTGTGTAGGGATGGGTGTAAAAGTATGGTGGGTGTCCATTTCCTCTTGCAGTCACGGCTTCTCTCAGATGATGTACGACGTCGAGGAAGGCGACCGAGCAGATATTACCTTCGAGAAGAACGTGAAGGGAACATCGACCTTTAGCAACCTCGACCTCCTACTTTTGGGATACATCACTTCAAAGAGCCACTCTGCAGGTGAGGGTGTAAACGCTGGTGTCTTCTATCCGTGGAAATTAACCTATTACTCTGCTACAGTAGTTAGACCTTGTATAGTGTTAGCAGTCCCTTGTCTTTTCTCTTTTTCTTTTTCACTTTACTTCCTTACATAAGCGTGTGCTGTTTAATTCTAATGTAGAAAAGTGTGACTATGTGGACATTGGGAAAGTAAAAACCCTTGGAGAAGGCCCAACAACATTCTCTATGGTGACCCTCAATGATGATATCGCCCTGGAGTACAGCGATCAAGTCGTTCTTAAGTTCAGTGCAGTCCACAAAAGCACGTTCATAGAAGAATGAAAGCTATGGAGTAGTCCTGCGAAATATGTCCTACGTGAACATTCTTGATAATGACGGTAACTGAGTTTCCCTAATGCCAACATTGCGCTATAGAGGCACTCATAATGCTGGTGTTTCATTTGCAGATCTTGAGATCCACTTCGATCACATGCGTTACGAAGTGACGGAGGGTGACGGGAATAAAGACGTCATATTTTACCATCGGACTACAGAGGAAGATTTCACTCTAACTGTGACACCAGTCGAGGCATCAGAAGTCATGCATATGGGCGGTAGAATGGACACTGAAAATGATATGCCCCGCACAAAAGGTGCAGTAGAGTTTAGCTCCTAACCTTTCGTTTTCCTTA